TTCCAAATCGGCCGCGGTAAAGTAACTTTTGGAGGCTCTTTTAACTGAGTCTAGAAATGGTTGTACAAATTTTGATTGGATGAGACCAAATTCAATATGGCGTGGCAGCCAGCAAGTTAGTTTTGAATATGTGTTTTCATGCATATTTCAATTATTTTGTTTGTTTGCAGCTTCTATTTTGATTATTCAAAAAAATATTTGTTAACTAAGTACGTGAACTATTAAGTCGGGCAGAAACTAGATATTTTTTGTGTTTTTTGGTCCATGTATGGTCGCCACGCCATATTGAATGTCAAGTGGTTTGGATTGCCTATTGAGAAACGGTATTTGGCGTTCCAGCAAATTCACACCAGATTTGGCATCGCCGGTAGAAGGGGAATAGTAGGTTTTGGCATTAGCATTGCCGTCTTTGAACGCACTCCTGGTCAGCTTTGATGTCGTGTCTCTATTCACAGAAGTGCCATTCAGCCTTATGCAGTAAGTACATTGACTTTAATTTCAATATTGAAATAATTTCAATAAATTTTGACTTTCATTTCAATATTGAAAAAAAACGGTATGCTGTAAGTACCCTTGATTTTATTTTATTGAAATATACTCCTGGACAAAATTATCGCACCACTGCTTATGGTGCATAAAATCTGTTTTTTTTTTAAAGATAAAAGTCAAAATGACATTATGTTGGCAATACAATGTGAAATTGTCAATGCTTTCAAATTTTTTAATAGGAAAGGCTTGTGTTGCCAACATAGTTACTAAATTTTTGACTTGGGGAATTATCTTTAAAAAAAAACGGACTTTATGTGCAGTGGTGGTGCGATAATTTTGTCCAGGAGTATAGAAAAACATTGAAATTGATGTCAAGTTTTTATGTGGCAACGTTGTATTTCTTTGTAAAATCGTGAAAAAAGAAGAGTTTTTGAGGGGTTCCTAACCTAAAAATACAAAGTGAACTGAAAGTGTTTTGGTTTTCCTAGCCAAGTCTAATTATTAATTTTACTTTCTTTACCTTTTTTGTGGATTTAGAGTGAGTGAAAATTTGTTCTTGAGCTTATAAAAAAATCCAAATACAGTATCCGCCAAAATAAACAGTACTGAACATACCGGGTGTCCCACCGAAAACTGTCAATGGCCTATATCTCGAAAACGGTAATCGATAAAAAAAAAATGAAAAACCCTTTTAGGGGGTTGGAAGGGGGAACCAAAACAAGATACTTTTCAGGTCTCCCTGAATCACCCCTCTGGCTGTAGCTACCCTAACCTCAAAATCTTAAACGGCACTATGGGTCATGTGATTCCTTGTTTGAAAGGTTTTTTAATTCTCTAAACGAATCTGCAAAAAAAACTTATCTAGATACAAATTTAAATTGTCACAAAATGGCGCATGCTTTGAATTAACAACTTTGCTCTCTTGAGGAGGTGAACACTGTCAGGTACAGTGAGGGGAGAGGGCATCAAAAAAATAAAATCTTGATGATTTCTTCAAAAATATTCATGCTGTTATTCAATTTGTATAAAATCGGTTTTAAACCACATTTACCTGTTCCACCCGATCAAAGAGGTTTTCATCGAAATGAGAGTCACATTTAAATCTGGATATTTTTTTTTTGGAGATCCATTAAGAGAATTGAAAGACCTTTAAAACAAGGTATCACTTGACCCCAATGAACTATAGTTAAAAACTGGAATGCGCACACATTGCCATATCTGCCAAAAAAATGTACCCATGAAAGATAGATGCCACAAGGGGGAATGTTGTTTTTTTCTGTTGCTCGCTGACATATGACGTTTTCGAAAGTTTTGTCATATTTCCCTTCACAGGTTTCATCAATTGGAATACGTGTTGGAAGCAATTTTCGCCATTTAACATAATGAGTGCGACAAAAACAGATATCCCCTCCGCAGCAGCCGCACTAGGCTTCAAGTTCGTCCTTATGTGTTAGCATTCCAGTTTTTGGTTATAGTTCATTGCTTGACCCATAGTGCCATTTAAGATTTTGAGGTTATGGTAGCTACGGCCGGAGGGGTGATTCAGGGGGACCTGAAAAGTACCTTGTTTTGGTTCTCCCTTCCAACACTCCAAACGGGTTTTCCATTTTTTTAAAATCGATTACCGTTTTCAAGATATAGGCCATTGACAGTTTTCGGTGGGACACCCGGTATAAATTATATCATTTTTTAATTTGTATCATGCTTATATTCAAAAAATACATCATAGCGACGCAAAAAAGCTTCATAACGATTCTGCAAATCATTGAAAATATTTATTAAGAGTGGTTGCTGAAATTTTTCTGAGACTTGTTTCAAACTTGAACCCTTATCCTTCCAAATCCGTATGACCGGAAATAGTGCTCTACTAAGAAAGCTGTTTTTTGAGTTAAAAGATACATAATGACGAAGATTTTAACCTTAACTTAATGTCAACTTCATAATTAATTCCAAGTAAGCGAAATACTATAAATGCAACTTGCGTGCGCAATTACTCAGAGCTCTAGATTTCGGTACTGTTTATTTTGGCGGATACCGTAGATCATTGGCAAATTAGAACATGGGTAAACAATGCTTTTGGGTTTATTTTCTCAAATAGATTTTGAGGGAATGGAAATACAGAATCGAGAGCGAAGTCGAAAGCCAGATGAATTTATTTTGTATAAAGATGGGAATACATAGTGAACATATACCTAGGTCGAGACTTAGGTACTGTGTGTAGGTATTCACAATTATTTTAACTTATCTAATTTTGTTTTTAGGAAAATCCATTGATGTGAACATACATGAAAAAAATTCAAGGTTCTCAAAATCTATTTATTTGCCATAGAAAAGAGCCTGCAAGTCCTGAATAAATTAACGCTGTATCTAGCCTCCCGGCACCGGTATTCATATGAATCCCGGTTATGACGCTTCAATGACGTCATCAACAAGCACCGGTAACTGTCGTGGATCCCGGCTATTGCAATACAAAATGTAAATAATTATTATGTTCATTGGTATTGGGGCAGAATTATTATGTAGGGTAAAAAAAGAACACGAAGTCGGGCGCGATAAGCTTTTATTTATGGGAAATAAAATTATGAATTTTATTATATGTACATAGAATACATAGGTATAATTCGAACATAAGTATAAATTCTGAAATAATCACTACAACTTTTTGGTATCAATTGTTCATGCACAGATTACACTCCAAACAAATCCAATTTTTAGAAAATTTTGGTATTTTTTTTAACGTTGTAAATTTAATGTCTCCATAGAAGGCATAATAGATGATACATATAGCATTTCGCCGCGGGTAATTCTGTGATTTCGCTGAATTTTACAGCATTTTGGAAGTCTGTTTAGCATTTGATCTTGTACAGCAACGCCGTTATTGTTCAGCAACATAACACAGGGTGCCCCAAAATTAGAGGTTAATATTTTAACTGCGGATTCTACATCTGAAGAGCATAAGTTCCTATAAACATGGGTCCGAAAGTACCCTATTTCAGAGATACAGGGTGTTAAAAAAGCTATAGTCCTGAAAAATGAATGAAAATAAACCATAATATTCCCTTTTTAAACCACTACTACGAAAAGTGGATTAGCGAAGTACTATTACCAATACCAATATTACAACAAGAAACAATAATACACAAAAGCTATTCCGGAATTATTTACAGCCTCAAGCAGCAAGAGAAACACGACTTTGAATTTTGAATCCAATAGCCAGGATCCACGATAAATCCCGGCGGTCGTTGATGAACGTCATTGAAAACGCATCGTAACCGGGATTCTTATGAATACCGGTGCCGGGAGGCTAGACACAGCGATAAATCAATTAATAATCTGATAATAGTTCAAATAAGTAAATATAAACATAACCAAAATATGCAGATGTATTTATTATAATTCAAGGACAATAATTTTCAACCACACTGTTTTTCACAATCACGATTCTGTTGTAAAAAATAGTTTCTCTCAACACGATCAAAATTCTCTTCATCAGTGTACCGATAACCCACACACACAGACAGGTACCTGCATGCACTCTCAAACCACCATCCAGGGCAAAAACGTGGAATTATAACAACGTTAATAGAACGTACTCGGAACATCTGCGAGCCACAACATCTCGAACAAGAACTGGTTCATCTCAAGACGGCCTTTTTATCAAATGGATACAATGCATCTGAAATCGACAGGGCCATGTGACCCAAAACGGACACATGACAAAACATGGATGAACAACCAGTGGTGGCTAATGCATATCTGCCTTTCATTTCTCGGGTGACAGACAGGATAGGAAAAGTCTTGAAGAAACACAACATAAAAACGATTTTCAATTTCAAAAAGGAAAATACAGCAATCAATCAGATCAGCCAAGAATAACAGGAACCCACTGTCAAGCGCTGGAGTCTATTGCATACCATGCAAATGTGGTAAGGTAAACATAGGAACAACAAAAAGATCCATGGGAACCAGGAACAACGAGCACAAAAGAAACTGCAGACTAGGACAATCGGAAAAATCGACAGTAGCGGAGCATGCGCTTAGTGAAGGGAATCACGACATACTATTTGGTAAGGTCGTGCTTCTTGCGCCGACTTCCGGATACCACAATCGTCTTGTACGTGAAGCTATAGAAATCCACAACCACACGTAGAACTTCAACAGGAAAGAAGAAACTTGACCAAATTTGGAACCCCATCTTCAAAAACGCAAGAAAGATCCCATTGAGTACAGAGAAAGTTCAGATCAGCCACGTGCTGCGAAGCCCCGCCCCACCCCCACCACAACCACTCACACATAAATACAACTAGCGGTCAAGAACGCGTCAGATTGTTACCATAATCAGACATGGAAGCACCTCTGAAGATGCTAGCCACGCCTGCTAGCGAAACGTTAGGAAGAAATTCCAACTTACGACGGCCATCAAGCCCGAATGAAAACACTGTATAGTGTTAATACGTGAAATTATCCAATATACACTTCAGAATCCTTTCCTTAATAAATTTCCAACTTACCCCCGATAGTTAAATCTTTTTCATGGTAATACTCAATTTTCTCCCTGCCACAATCCAAAGGATCTACAAGATATCTCCTGGCACTCAATGCTGAGCCAAGAACGTTTAATACTGTATAATTTGCATTGCTGCCTACAGCAGGTAATTCTCTGTACCTAAAGAAAAACAGTAGGGACTGCTTGGAAGCTAATATCAATCAGGTACATACCTTTTAGGAAGTTTACCTCTTCGTAAAAACATGAAACCATGTTCGCCGCCCGTTTCAGATTGCAGCTCTTTTATTTCAATTGTATCGTCAGCTAAATAATAACGAAGTTCCAAAAAGTGCAAGTAACCGTATTCGGTATTCTGATCGTCCCAATATGCTTTAAAATGCAGCACCTTTCAATAGTTTAGTAGAAAAAAGTATTGTTATGCATATATTTAGATTCTAATACCTTTCTATCGTTTTCCAAAAACTGTCCCAAACTATTCCTATTCCGGTTCGGTTTTTTGGATTGAAACGCATCCCTATCGTGCGATCTTAGTTGCAAATAAGGATCTTCTGGACTAACAATCGGGTCGCTGACTGAGATACCGCAACGATTCAGAAAAGTTCTAGTGAATTTATCACAGTTGGTGATCTTGAAGACTCTGCCGTAAAGCTCCACTTCTCTACCGATATTAAAATCGATCATTTCATAGAAATTATCGTCCATGGGAGCTGGGAATCGGATCCTTTGTCTTGAGATCAACGTGCCTTAAAGATTAACTGCGTCAGCTTAACATATATTCGTAGGCCGAGCAGCATATCGGAACAATGGTCCCACGAAGACTCAATTCTTCAAATATAATTGCGATTGAAAATAAAAAAATGATGGCCTTTTATTCAGTTCTTAAATAAGATGGAGGAACACCACTTATTTGGAGATGAGTAGGTACATAGTTCCTGTTGCCTGGAGAATCAGTTACCTTGTGACACACCACTATTTTCTACTTTGGGCTCAATGACTTGTATTGTACCATCTTCAAGGAAATAATAAATTTTCACGGTTCTAACTTGAAATGGAGAACCACGGACTTCTTGAAGAGTCTCTTGGAAAAATGCATCAAAGCACAGAGTCTAGAATTAAAAATTGTAACCATTTGGTTATGGTACGATCAGGGAGCATCAATACATGATTTTATTTAGGAAATTTCTCATTTTTCTTCACATAGCTTTTAGAAAGTGGATAAGTGAAAATACTTCAAGGTGATAAAACAAAAATTTGATGCTCCTTGTAAGCGTATCAAACAGAAGCAAACATTTTGAAGTTCTAGCTTCATGTTACCTGCTTATCAAATATAATATAACCAGGAAGCTCGATAGTTTGTCCACGCGGATAAAACGATGGAAATTTGTCGGATATCGGTCCGAACATGTTCGGTCTGACTTTTTCGATAAGACCTCGGTTCCCATCTTTTACTTCTCCAATGAATCCTAGAACGGGAGTCAGTCGGAAATTCGTCCTTCCAATCTGAAGTAAAATTCAATATTAAATTAGATTTTATTTCGCCAAAATCACTCACGTTTGGATTAAATGAATATCCTGGTAAAAATGGTAGATCTGGACAACGAGTCGACATTTTTCTAGAGTTTTTTTTGTATAAGCACACAAGAAAATACGAAATGTAGAGAATTTACCCGAAGGCAATGTTATAATGACTGTCAATATGTCTGCCCCTGACAGCGAGTCAGGGGAGAAAAAAGTTTTGTTGATAAACAGTTGCTCTTGGAAACGCCCTATATAGGCAGGTAAATGCAATTTTAGGGTGTGAGTATCTTTATTAAATTTTGTTAAAAATTTACTTCTAGCTCCATCCAGGAAGTATTTATCCATCACTATATTAATAACTAATAACAATTATGTAAAACTAGATAGGTAAATACTTTACAAACTAAAAGTTTGACAATGGTTTAACAACCGAAACGCGTTGGGATTAATAGAAATAAAATTTTGTTGTGAAGTATAAAGGACTCCTTTCTTTCATCTGCTCTGCATAATGGTACTTCACTCTGGAGAAATCTACGAAAAACTAAAAGTTTGTTTAAAATTTGCGTAATGGCAAGTTTCATCTATAAATATTAAACTCTACATTCTACAAGTTAAAATTCAAATTTCCATTTTTTAATCTTAATTGATCCAAGCTAGATTCTTAGGTATTGGTGGCGGGCTATCGACAACTTTATTGCTTGTAGATGATTTTTTACCATTCTTCTTCTTTTTGACTCTCTTTAGTTTTGAAATTAGTCCTTTGATCATTGTGACACCTAAAATAAAGCATTTGGAAAATATTTAAAATTAAATATTTTTAAAGACAGATTAGAATTTAGGTATATATACCTAAATTCTGATTTTTCGTTACAATCGTCACAATTTTCGATAACTTGAAGTTCTTTCTAGTTGCCAAAAACCTAACAATAAACAAATGTTTTTCGTGGCCCGGATTCGTACCAACTGGATTCAAATTTTCAGCTTTCTTCATGTCGCAAACATTGCGAAATGCTGATAAAGCTCTTGATACTCCGACCTGAAAATATCCTATTTTGTAATGGAATGCGGAAGGTCTAGGTAATTGTATAGGTACACGTGAATGTCGCACAAGATGCTCAGTAATATCAGCCCCCAAAAGTTCTTCGTGTACGTCCATGCGAATCGGTATAATCTTGTTTATGAACCATAACAAAAATATAGTTGTTGAAACTCCCCAAATTATAATGCAAACTGCTGTGAGGCTTTGAACACCTAATAAATACCAACCACCACCTAACAAAAAAAATTAATAAATCAGGGTTATTAGAATTATATTTTGATGAAAACTACCTACCTTTGACAAGTCCACTTCTACCACTTGTAGTATTTAATGGTAGAGGATTTTGAGCGAATATTCCTACAGCAATGATGCCTATAGGTTAGTGAGTTAGACGACATTTTGATTTGCTAAATTTAAGCTTACCCCATATTCCTCCGACGCCATGCACTGCACTTGCACCAACAGGATCATCAATTTTGATCTACAAGTCAACTCCTATAACTCCGAATAAATAACACTTTCAACTTACCAAATCAATAAGTGGCATGGCACTACACACTAAAACAGCCCCAACTGCTCCAATAACCAATGCTTCCCATCCTAAAAAATAATTAGGAATTATCCATTATTGGGGTCGTTTGGTTCTCACCTTGATACAAATAGCATCCAGCAGTAACAGCCACAAGCGATCCTAAAATCCCATTGATAATATCCAAAGCATCAATACGACCTCCAAGTTTGGCCATGCTAAACAGAATACTAGCAGTACCACCTCCAAAGGAAGACATCATTGTAGTTACTGCTGCTTGGGCAGCATAGTGCCATTTAGCTCCGCTTAATCCATACGTGCTGCCTGAATTGAATGCCAACCAGCCCCACCAGAGAACAAAAAGACCCATTACAGCATTAACGGGGTTTCCTAAAGGTAATGGTCCTTGTCCGTGATCATAACGACCTAGCCTTGGACCTAACATTAGGGCACTGGCTAGGGCTGCACTACCTCCAAGAAGGTGCACTGCACCGGAACCAGCTATGTCGACTGCGCCCATTTTTTTTAGAAAGCCGTGTTCACCCCAAAGCCATCCAGCTGGAATGCAGTAGATGGCTGTGTTGAGGAAGCTATAGAAGAATTTTCATTTATTTATTTATTTATTTATTTGTTACACAATCATGTATACAAATTTATAAATTTTTACATCCGTCACAATATCTCTATGATGATGAAAACTCGGCCTAACAGATGTTTCTTAACTATGTATATACAGACATGAATTGCTGAGTTGCCAGTTCTCCAGAGGCGAGCAGACAAGTGTTGCATTTCTTGACAATGTTAGCCTGAGAAAATCCTGATATTGTCGCGATGTCTGGTATAATGGTGATGTGGTTCACCCAGAGCCGCAAAATTATGCAGATTACGATGCATTCATAAATGTATTGTGGAACAGTTAAACTCTGGAAAAACTTGAGTGAACTTTTGAATACTTTTTTTTTTGTTTAGGATAAATAGGAAATTTTATTGGCTATTGAATCAGTCTGTCTAATGAAGAGAATTAATGAACATAGAATTAATGATTATAGTTAAATATTTTGAAAATGTGTTATATTGAATTGAGATAGATAGTATTGTTATGTCTGAGTGTAGATCGTAAAGCATTAACTAACATGTTTGATGTTTTGTAATAGTATTCACTCTGGCTGAGTTTTCAATTTTTAGAAAAGCTTTGTACGAATTTGGCAATAAGCAAAGTCAGAGGTTTCTATTCGCTTATAGAATTAGACGTTTTAAAAAGCTGTAATGTTTTGACGTGTAGGAGTTTTGATTGAAAATATTGTAACCTAATGTAGTAGGGCTCTATAAGATAGTTATTTTAGTACAAGGCTTTTAATTGCAACATTTTATTTACAAGCTCAGAGACAGTAAAGAGGCGGTAAGTTAGCTTCATTTAGAATTAATTATTTTTGTTTTAGAAAGGTGTTGGATTAGGGTATAAAAATTGTACCAATAAAATTTGGAAAAGCTTTGTTTATTTTCTCGAATAAAGAATATTTATTAATGGATAACTGTACATCAGTTGTTTCTTTCACTTGCATTTTGGCGATGTCCGAGATTTAACTCCTCTCATTCAGGATTTTCAGCGTCTAAAACAAATACCTGGAGAATCTGCTTTGACTTTCTTCTACAGAATTTAAGTATTGAATGCAAAGATGCATTCTTGCATCCAAATTTAAAAACCACAGATCAAAGACAGGTACAATCAATCCTTATTGAAACTATGGCATTAAATACCTTTCTCACCAGTCTGGAACCTTGCCTTGGCCAACTAATTCAAGCAAGCAATCCAACAACCCTTCTAGAGACACAATCTAGAATTCGGAATGAACTTCAATTATCTTATTTTGAAGATCAGAAAACACCCAAAACTCAACCCACAAAACAATCACGGAGGAAAAAACACTCAACCTACCAAATGCTATAATAGGGAACTTGCAAGTGGAATAAAATTTTCCAAATTTGTTTTAAATCGATAGTTTATACTGCACAATATTTATATGACCAGTATTTATTTAAATAATACCGCCCTTCTTACACAAAAAATAATACTAAACTTGAAATAGAATATTTTTTCCGCCAAAACAATGCTTCCATGATGGCACCTTTTTTGACTTCACGATTTTGTAAACAAATCTGTCAATAGGGAACACAAAAAGCAAACTTTAACACAGTTGAATAACACAATAATAGCACTGCGTCAGCAAGAGATCGTTTTCTGCGTTTGTTGTTTACAAAATCTTGACGTCACAAGCGCTGTCATATTGAAATTTCGCGTTTCCCCGCCAAAGTTTTTGATTTGAATTTCAATATTTTTTTTTTCGTACAACGTATAATTTAAAATGGAAAAAAAGAAAACTATGTAATATCTGGTTACTAGAAGTATCTAAAAAAAAATAATTTGAGAAATATGAAAATTCCCTATTGTGGGGTTCTGGTCACTGTACAAATCAATGCAGACAACAAAATGTCCGTAATAATTCTTCACAAAACTCCAACTCTACTAATTCTAATTTTCAAACTGCTCAAAAACCTTTTACAATTCCAAACCATAATGCTTCAGCTTCATTCAACACTCCACAGCAAAACAAATGGAATAACGGAGCACAAAACCAATCTAGATCCTTTACCAGGGTCCCTAATTCAACAAACCAACTTCAAAATCGTCACCAAATAACCCAGAAAAATCCCCCATTTTACCAATCTCAACAAAGGACCCACTAAATGAATTGAGACCAATCTTCTAATAATTATGATAACGAATATCAAACTGATGATTACAAATTCGACAATCAAATTTATGCACCAGTGATATTATTGACTTCAAAAATTAGCAGGATTTTCTAACACTCCCATCTACCCCATCTGCCCCAGAGAACACAACTCAAGACCCAATTTCCGAAATCCAGTCCCAAATTCAAACATTGAACTTGGACAACATGGACCCAAACTTGAACTTCCCGGAACAAAACTTTCGCTGAGTCTCTTACTTATAGTAAACTCTAAAAACCTATACTATATCAACGACACTGCAAATAAATACAAATTATGAATCGACTCAGGAGCAGGCATCTCAATTTTCAAAAACCACACAGTCCAAAAATTTTTATCTATATTTCCCGAAAATATTAGCATTCAAAGAATCACCAACCAAAAACTATCTATTCAAGAATCAACCCTTGTCCTTTTTGTTAAAGGAAATCCACTTGAAGTTTATATTTACGATCTTGACATCGAGTTTGATAGCATTCTCGGATTAGACTTTCTCGAGCATTATCAATGTATTACTGATTTGAAAGCAAGAAAATTGATGACAAACTTTAAAACCATTAACTTACATAAAGTCGAAAACAAAAAAAACCCTGCTCGATACCAAAAGCGACATGTAAAAAATAAACTTAATTTCCATTGAACCCAGAACCGAGAAAATCTTTAAATTAAAATGTAATCTTGCGAATAAAGACGCTATTATTTTTTCCGAAGAAAATGAAAAAGTAAGGCTACCCAACGCAATGGTTAGAGTTATTGAACATGAATTTTTGACTACAATAATTAACGCTACTCCCAAAATTATTGATTTCTCAGACTTTAAAATCGAGACACATTGCTCAAAATCAAAACGACTAGTCCGAAGATATTTTCAATTTCAATTCCAATTCATAAAATATCGTCACCCCTGATAGAAAATAGGTCACAAAAAAAGATCTTCGACTTGACCATTTAAACGATGAAGAACAACAACTTATCACAGACTTGTGTCTCAACTTTTCCGATATATTTTACCTTGAGGGAGACAGTCTGACTTTCACCAGTGAGATCAAACACAGTATTGATACTAGTGTTTCCCGACTCGTCTTCACCAAATATTATCGCTATCCCCAAGTGCAGAGAGATGAGGTGAAACAGCAAATCAGCAAAATGCTGAATCAAGGCATTATTCGTCCATCGATCTCTCCATGGTTTTCCCCCGTTTGGGAAGTTCCCAAGAAACTAGATGCTCCAGGAAAACAAAAATGGCATGTTGTCATCGATTATCGTAAGCTCAACGAGCTTAGTGTAGGATTCCAAATATATCCAACCTTTTAGACGAACTAGGAAAGTGTCAGTACTTCACCACACTTGACAACTTCAGGATTCCATCAAATCGAAATAGACCCTGCAGACATTCCCAAAACTGCGTTTAAAGTAGAAAATGGTCATTACGAGTTTTTCCGTATTCCATTTGGCCTCAAAAACGCCACCTCAACGTTTCAGCGAGTCATGGATAAGATTCTTCTTGGCATTCAGAATGAACGTTGTTTAGTTTACATGGACAACATTATCGTGTATTCACCAACTCAAGTCCAAGATCCATGAGCACATCTCAATGTTAACCGAAGTCTTCAAACGTCTTTGAAAAGCAAATTTGAAAATACAGCCTGATAACTGCGAATTTCTCAGAAAAGAAGTGGCATATCTTGGCAACCTTATTACTCAAGAAGTAGTGAAACCTAACCCAAAGATCGAATGCATCCACAGCTTTCCCGTCCCGACAACACCAAAAGAGATCAAATCCTTTTTAGGACTTGCCGGCTATTACCGACGTTCCATTCCCAATTTTGCCAAAATTTCAAAACCACTAACAAGACTCCTATAAAAGCACGTCCCATTTAACTTTGACTCAGAATGCTCTTCTTCCTTTGACGACCTCAGAAAAGCACTTACTTCTGACCCCATTTTAATTTACCGAAATTTCGAAGAAGCTTTTTCTCTTAACGACCGATTACCTCAGAGAATCTCAAATCACAACAAAAGCCCAAAACTACGGAAGCCCGGTCGTGCAGTCTGTCTTCCGAGTTCTTAGTTCATAGTTCTGACGTCACAACTCGGAATGTCTGATTTACTACGTCACAACTCGGAATTTCTGATTTACTACGTTAGAAGTCCGTTATCGATGTTATCCTTGAGAATTGTTGGATTGTAAATTGTAACCTAAAAATTAGGTGTCCGGTTCGATTGTTTTTATTTGCATTTGCGATGTGAATCTTAACAAAAACAAAACTGCATAGCAAAACCTTAAACATTCTACATGAAGCAGATAACCATCATTTTAGAGGCCTGTGTCCTATGGCTCTCAGATCTTTAAAATAATTATTCCACTAATTTCTACCAAGCCGTCTCATTTGAGACCATCAACATTCAATTCTTTCATTATAGATATAATAAGCTCTTGGCTTATTGTATAAAGCTTTTTTGGCGACTCCTGGAAAAAAATCAAAAATCAAAAATCAGGCCATAGTCTGTATTGTAAAAATATCAGTTAGTGTCTCTTTGCTATCTTTGGTTTTTTTCTCAATCAAATTTAAGTATATTAAAGCTAAAAGGCTTCTCAATATTTAAAATAATCATTTTTTCTGCGATTGACAAGAAATGTCAGCATTTTTGACCAGTTGACAGGTCGCAAAACTCAATATTCTGGTATTTCAATTATGTTTCAATAGTTGCTAAGGAATCAATGAATAACAATACGGGAAATACTTTTCCGGCCTAGGCCGGGAAAGTGATTCTCGTATTGCTGAATAATTGGAACTAAAACACAAACATTTAAGAGGTATTTAACCGATCGCAGAGAAAATAGTATGTGTATTTCGGTGGAACAGTGTGTGCTCGGCTACGCCTCGCCCGTCAACTTACATCGTCGGCCGAGAATGTGTCACTTTTCCACCGAAATACACAATATACTATTCCAAAGTTTCCCAGATTTCTAGGAAAAAAAAAAAGAAAAATCAGGCCATAATCTGTATTTTAAAAATATCACTTAGTGTCTCTCTGAGATTAAAAAAACCTGACTGCGCTATCTTTGGTTTTTTTCCAATCAAATTTTAGTATGCTAAAGTTGAATGGCTTCTGGATATATAAAAAAAATCTTCATTCTCCAAAGTATCCCAGATTTCCAGGAAAAAAATCAAAAATCAGGCCATAGTCTGTATTGTAAAAATATCACTTAGTGGCTGTTTGGAATAAAAAAAGTTGTAATTCCCCTATATTTGGTTTTTTCTCAATCAAATTTTAGTATGTTAAAGCTAAAAGGCTTCTGGATATTTGAAAAAATTCTTAATTTTCCAAAGTTTCCTAGATTTACTGGAGAAAAATCAAAAATCAGGCCGTAATTTGTATTGTAGAAATATCACTTAGTGTCTCCTTGGGATTAAAAAATCATAATTCCGCTATCTTTATTTTTTTTCCAATCAGATTTTAGTATGTTAAAGCTAAAAAGCTTCTGGATATATAAAAAAATTCTTCATTCCTCAAATTATCCCAGATTTCCAGGAAAAATATCTAGAATCAGGCCATAGTCTGTATTGGAAAAATATCACAGTGTCTCTCTGGGATTAAAAAATTCGTAACTCCGCTATCTTTGGTTTGTTTTCAATCAAATTCTAGTATGTTAATGCTCAAAAGCTTTTGGATATTTCAAAAAATTCGCTTTCGAAAAATAATTTTCCATTTCCCACTTACACCTCAAATGTTGCTAAGTATCTTGATATCATAGAGCTAGAAGCTTATCAGTCAGAAAACAAAATTGTTTTCGTTTCGAAAATCCGTTGCTTGAACCCGAAACTTATACCCTATACCGAATTTTCCCAATCCCAATTTTCGATAATCGAACAGGTCTCTTTCACACTATACAAACAACTCATAAGTACATTGCGCGAGATGACGATTCTTTGCTGTAAGTATCTTCTCAAGATCTAAGAAGCTGCAAACAAATTCAATTTAATCTCTACATTTGTTCCGACCTGCTTCAGTATCCTATTGACAGCGACGCAGTATGCAGACAATCCAGGCTCTTGCCAAAGACCTGCCAAACATCCATTCTGATAGCCTCAGACTACCATGTTCAAGAACAAAATTACTGGCTTATCACCGTTTCAGATCCACTTCCAGTAACAGTCAAATGTGGAAAAAGAGAAACTACAACAAACATTATTCGAACTAATTCACTCTTGAAGCTACAACCAGAATGCAGTGCAGTGGAAGCACCAGAATCCACTCCAAATATATTATAGAAAAATATACTAACGTCACCTACCAAAGTCACCTTGTTGCAATTCCGTATGATTATTGTAAACACATTCCAGAACAAGTCCATCTTCCAGAAATCAAGCCTCTAAAATTGAGCAACATCGAAACAGAAGACCTAAATGTTGCTCAGCACAGACTCAAACAATACTCTGAAGAACGAAAGAAACTGATCCATGGACCCTTTATATCAAGGCATATCCACTGGTTCACTATCTTCTCCATAGTTCTGATCATTACCCCAACCATCACTTACATTTACCGCAAATGCCGACGTAGAAAACTACAAGACTCAGTCTCCAAGGCGTCGACAGTAATGCTTTTCCACCACGACTAAAACCAGGACAACGACGAGAAATACACTATTTGAGAAAACTGATCCCAAAGAGAAGGACGAGCATTCACCCTGAAGACCACATGGACGAAAACGCCCTGTAGCCTAATAATCTGGCTCCCACTTTTTTGCATTGGCACTAACTTTTTTTTTAAAAGGGGGAGCTGTTATATTGTTGTATTCTGACCATTAGCCTCTTTACCGTGCGATGACCCGTACATCCTAGTGCATAATCCAGGGAACCGCAAAGTCAGCAAGTTCAACAACAGCGTAAATCCTAGTAAATGAACTCAATCCAGCGACCTCAGCAACAATTAATTATAAATTCTTTAGGAACATTATATTTTTTTTAATATACTTATATCTAAATCTATTGTATTCGCGTAGTCTTAAGCTTTGAATTTTAACCTTAATTTTTCATTATTATAATTTTATAAATGAAATGCTTAAAAAATTAAACCTGAAGCAAACGATTTAACATAATATATTATGGAAAGCAGAGGTCCGATTAGTCTTGAGGGACCCCACGTCCCATCCTCCTACTCTCCGAGCTCTCTCCATTAACACTTGTTATTTGTCGCCCATCTGTGAAATAGATCTGTATGAGACAGCAAGCACACCGGTAACATCATAAGGCTACAGTTTGGCCACAAGAATTTCATACAAGACACAGTAGGAGGCTTTGAAGAGGTCGCAAAATGTAGCCTCCACAAATTTGCTCAAAGCCCCCGAATATGGCGTCGCAAAGTTTGTTAACTGCCATCACTGATGTTGACCTTCCCCTTCGAAAACAAAATTTTTCTGCGGACAGAAGATTGTTTCTTTCAAAGTATTCACACAGCTAGTTGGTTTTCAAGAAGCAATTCAAAATTTTTCGATATTACCGGAAAAAGGCCCGGTTTATTCTTTTTCAGATAAACTTGCTGGTAATTATCTGCAAGTTTACCGTACTATAATTATGTTGGTCGGCGGATACCTACCTGACAGTCCATCAGAATGTGGATAAACCTTAGAAATTGTTATTTTTGTTCCAAGTTCTACTTAAAGTTCTACTTAAATTTACCGTACCAGCATTTCTGACTTTTTTCATTATGAAATCTATAGCACTTGAGAAGCTGATTACGACGTTGAAAAGACTGTTTAGATTATTATGCAACAAAGGGACGTCAAGTGATTAATCCGACGCCGTATTGTTTGGGACGACATTGGGCCGATATCTTGAATATTTTGTCGATAACGTAGTAAAAACTTACCTAAACAGGCAATAGGCTTTGAAATTGCAACGTTCTGCCATGGCACCACTGACAATCGTAGTAGCTGTGGTAGCAAAAGATAGCTGGAATAGAAATGCAGCAAAAATGGCACCTTTCAGAGGATCATTTATGGTAGGATTTATGCAAAAATCACCTAGAGCGATAAAACCGTTATTTAGATCGCTTCTACCAAACGATATGGCGAAGCCAAACATCCAATATGTTATACCTAGAAGATCGAATAAAGAAATATGGGTTGTTTTGACCATGGCACATAGGAAATGATTTATTTTACCTCCCAATACAATATCAACAACATTTTTCATCATAATGTTCACTTCGTTTTTAATGGAAACGCATCCAGATTCTAGCATACCAAAGCCTGAAAATTTTGATTATCTAAATTTTCCACCAATATCAGAAGTTCTTACCAGTTTGCATGGTAAATATCATAAATGAACTAGTAATAATCCAATTAGCATCCTCAACGGTAATATTATACAGCCAAGGTATTGAATAGCTGCTATTTGCAAACGAACTATTGAACATATTGGATGCTAAAAGTCCCTTCATTGGAAAGGGACTGATTTTACATTACTGGAGAAAAGCCAACACTTTATTTTTTTTTCCTTGAGAAAATGACGTCGTCAACAAGGTAATTTATTAAAATTAGGTTGTTGTTTTGTGTAGGTATTTTCTTTGTGAACGAGCTAAATAAATCAGGAATCCTTAAGTATAGGTATTTTCATATGATGTGGGTCAATGTTGGAACATGCATCATGATGATGACCGCGATTTATAAAATTAACACTTGATGGAAAACTAGCCTCTGTATAAATAAAATAAATAACTCTCAAAGATAAAGGTCAATGGTTCTATGAATCTACCTCAAGGAATTTTAATGCAGCCTTCCCTTTCTTAGGTTTAAATCATCAAACTCCTACACAGAGCTAAAATATTAATTGTGCAGAAGCGTCTGCAACATATTTCTTTCCAGTTATTCTCAAATCATCAAAAGTCATCTTCCGGTCTTCCAATTTACCACGTGAAAAAGCCGGAAAAGTTACGAGATCGCTATTAATATTCTTTTCAATAGTTTTTTTTTTTGTGATTGAGAGTACTATCTTAGTTTGTAGCTTGATCTCAGACTCAGAGGCCAGAGCTCTCAATTCACTTCAAATTAATCTGTTCACTTTACCTCTAAATGGATTTGGATAACACTAAATCAGTGGTTAACCAAAGAACATACCTACTACCCCAAATAGATTCCCGTACTTGGTACTTTGGCGAGCATTGAAGCATCCAAACATCTGTACAGGGTGTCTGGTTATAATTTCACACCCCACCTAGCGGGCTTTTTATAAGTTATATCAAAAAATTGTAAATAAAACAGGTGGCATCACCGCAGGAGAAAATATCTGATCAGTCACGCTTTTTTGAGTAGTAGTTCAATAACAAATAATCCCTTGCAATTTGCAAAGTCAAATTTATACAATCAGGAAAAATATTCCATAGTAGCCTGTTCTAATAATGACAGAGGCTATAAGATTGAAACATTCAGTGTTGGATGACGGATAATAAACATCTTTCTTTGAGAGGGAGGCCTTTTAAACCCTGATATCCCTTCAATATGACTGAACAAAGTTTCTTACAGTGTCTCTACAGTAACTGAATTACATGCCGATAAATGCTTTGCATGCTAGTAATATCAAAGTTGCCATCTGTCTATCGCTATTCATTCCAAACCGAATGTGACCTATCAGCTAGATGAGGGAATTCTCTGACAATCTCTGATAATCCGAGTCATGTCATCCAGACCCAAGATTTTGGTTGTTTTTTTTTTATATGTTTGTTTCTGGTGGCCATCATTCTTATTCCCGGATAGACACTGAACAAGTCGTCTAAAGTCAAGGTAAAAAAGTTTAGGGACATAAGGATACCTCTAATTATTGTTGCCGGAGATCCAATTCAACTTCACTAGCGGAATAAGTTGGCATATTTGGAAATAGTGCTGTGAGATGACGGTTGTATAGTAGCTCTGTATATTTGTGTTGTCGCCTTCCTGAAGGAGAAAAATAGTTTCTGCGTTTTTTTTTATAAATTCTTCTTTGGAGTTAGGAAGACTTCAATACTTCCCTGACTTTCACCATCTCGATTGTGATCTGATCTTCCCCCAGAGATTCACAGGTCTTTTATTGTTCCAGCGCTGCTTCTAGTTCGCTCCCATCGATAGGATCTAGTTCGTCTGACCCTACGTTTAGGATTTTGGTATTTTCGCAATTCACCATCAGACGAGTTTAACTCTGTCACCTTTTGGGTGTAGTGTTCGATTGGAGTCCTCTACATAGAGCTTCCACGATCTTCAATCTCTCGCTAACAACTTCTTGTTTGCCATTCTTCATTGTGTTTATAAACAACTTAACTTTTGATCGAGTTGCTTGAAGAACTCAGGAGAGCAGCGTTCTCATGAGAACGAAGGTTCTATCTTAGTCGCTCATATTCATATTTCCATAATACTGACAAAGACAGAACCTTCGTTCTCATGAGAGCGCTGTTCCCCGGTTTCGAGAATAAGGACCCAGGTGTCATGAATGCTGTTCCCCGGTTTGGAGAATAAGGACCCAGGAGTCACACAATTAAATAAAGAAAAAGGACCTAGATGTCACACAATTTAACAAAGAAATTCATCTCTTATGTAGACAAAGCAGGTGCTCAGCTAACCTTCAAAATGAGTTCCGCAAACATGACAACCAGGAAATCCAACAAAATTCTAGTTAACAAAGAAAAAATTCCAACAAAGAAAGGCGTCTCTTTTGTCAACAAAATCAGATAGGTGGTTGGTATAGATTTTGTATTCACACGCCTAAAAGCTTTATTCTATTTAGCAAAGAAAACCCCAGCAAAACAAATCCGTCTCTCACTTATACCTTTTGAAACCAGGTGTTACCGTATTTTAGAGAGAACCTTTAAATAAAAGAAGGTCGTTTCTTTTGATATCATTCGGCCTATTGTGAGTCAGGTGTATTACTCTATTTTACAAAGGAGCAGGTGGGTGGCATAATAGTAAATTTTTTAACAAGCATATAATGATAGCTATTATTCACGAGAATGAAAATGCAAACACGAGCCGAAGGCGAGTGTTGGAATCATTCGAGTGAATAATAGCCATTATTTGCGAGTTTAAGACTATACTTTCTCTTCGAACTTTTTGACGAAAATACCGAGAATTTGATTGGTCGATAGGCCGTGGATTCCGGTTTGGAATCCACGGGGCGTGTAGAATTCGTATCATTTAATCAGTTTTATATCGAGCAAGAAGGAATGTATTATTTAATGTTCGAAGAGAAATTCGTATTTACACCACTTGAAATTTTAGATGACACGCCATACTTCTTTTGCTCGCTCATAGTCATCATCACTAATGTGTTCATCATTTAAACTGTCATAAAATTGATTTCTACTAGGGAGAAATAGATAATTCATTTTTTCAATTGAATCCATGAAATTGTATGGAAACATACCCTTTTTTCTCACCAAGTTAAATTGATCAGTATCGGGGAATTGCTTTCTCGTTTCTCTTAGTTGATCAACCTCTAGACTTTTCGCTAAATTTTCCAAAGATGACGATAAAAACTGAAACTATCAATAAATCTCAACTCTAAGTATTTCTTTATCGGAACCATCTCTCGGTCAATATAGTCATGCATGTAGATACTTTTCGTGAATGATATGTACTTCTCTTTCCCTTTGGCAATAACGTCAATGATATCCCCATGCCGACATAATTCTTTTATAAACATATGGTTATCATAATTACTTAGATTATGGCATATAATAGGTGTGAAATTGGGCAATTTATAGTTTAAGTTACAGACGGAATGTGCTGCACCAAATCCCTTTTTTTCAGTTATATGGCAACGATCTTTGACTTTTATATCATTCTCATCGCATGTGTGCTCACATATACCACACACCTTGGCATTTTTGAATTCCTCAATCTCTTGGGGTGATAAGCGATTCATTGGCCTTATATCTTTTAAAGAAGTATTGTTCAAATACCATAAATCGCTTTCTATACTGGAAACAAAAACTTGTACCGCATCGTTCCCCTGATACAATTGAAATTTAGAGAGAGAATTGTCAAAAGCACACTTTATCAGATATGCAAAAGAGTATGGTTTGTGCTCAACATTTTTAATTGTGTAAGGATCTATAGGGTTTGGTTCAGATATTTCCATTGGTTTCAAAACAATCAAAATCTGCATATACCACAAATGGAACTCTCCTTTGTTTTCCGATATTTTTGAATTTTAAAATATTTTCCGGTACATGTTTCCCAAATTTATCTACTTTTTTATTTGGTGATGGTGTTAATGCATATATGTGATAACAATCGTTTTTCTGATGCATTGTTAAATATTATTGTGAACTGAAATATATCAAGCAATCATCACAAAAATAGAGTTTGTCAGCATTTAGGGTGATTTGGCTTGCAACTAATCGGGACATATCTTTAATCCAACAATAGTGGGCTTTTGTACAATTTGTTTCTCAAATGTCTTCATGACCATCTTTGATATCGCAATCTTGTGTAATTAACAATAAATTTATATGAAATCCCAGTTTCTTGCCAGAATATCGCAATGGACCAATAACTTCATATTTTAATTTATTGTTCTCATATTTCGATTCACGGAAATATTAATTTGTTCGAATTTGTTGATATCTTTCAATTTAATTGAAAAATCTATACCTGTTAAATTTAACACACAATGATATCGGGTCTTCAAAAAAAAAAACCAATCAAAGATTGCTATGGTTTTTTAAACGTATGTCTTAGCAATATTTGTCTTCAATTTTGTCAATGTCATGAATGTCAAAAATCCTGACCAATAAAGAAACAGTAATGCGACGTAAGTTTTCGTAATCAAAGCAATCTTCGTTTGTTTTTTTTTTTGAAGACCCGATACAATCTGTGTGGACATCCTGGTTGTGGGAAACAATGCTGAAACTATCGCACACGCAAAGCAGTACTCATCCTGATTTATGACATTGATTACAGCTTTTTTGGCTTCTATAAATTTCGGCAACTTAATATATGATGAGCCGCTCACAGGGTTGTATTTATTGATATTGACTTCCACATAAAAAATCTTCTGGAGAGCTCACCCTAACAAATAAAAATAAATTCTTTAGTAAAATATTATGAGTGGGTATTATATTCAACATACCTGAATCTTTTTCTTGAAACTTTGCTGATTGGCTCTTCATTGTATTAACAAATGATTCGTGAACACTATCTAAATCACTTCCCATAGTAACAATTTGATTCGATGTATTGAACGATCTATCACTACGTGTGTCATAGATGGTAGAATATATTGGCCCACACCACAACAATCATATTTATTTTCAGTGCATCTAGAGCACGCAACCTCCATCACTAGATCCAATATTTTTGGCTTAACTTCCTTAAAAAAAATACTGAATAGTCAGCATGCTGATTATCACTACTTATCCGATAAGTAACGATTATCCTTTTAAAAGCACTGCTTATAATTTCAACACCTGGAGTGCGTTTAGAAATGGAGTGTGAAGGTAGATTAGTTCTTTGTCAGAGTGTTCTGACGTCATCACTTGGAGTGCACTATGGGTACCGCTATTTCTGAACGTATTGGGGCGTTGCGGTAAATGTCCATGAATTACACTTGGCCAAACATAAAACTGGTACGCATTTTCCTATTGTGTTGTATTGTGTAAATCGACCTTTTTTATCACCTCAACAATGACAAAAAGAGTCAAATCAGTGTCATATTTAAACCAATCATAACATAAGGCGATTTCGCCCCAGACTTTTATCTGCTGTTTGGTAGGCGAATGGTTAACCAATGGCAGCAAATATCCAGTTAAGTTCCCCAAAATTTTCTAGAGGGCGCGAGTGAACTTGGAGTGCTTCAAATTATGGCGGTAAATATCAATAGTTTTAAACCGCTTAAATTGAGTAGAAGGAGAGATGACTACATATGAATATATGAACAATAGACAATGAATAAGTTTAAATATCGCCCAAAGCATTCAGTGGCCCTTAGAGAATATTTTTAAAAGTGTCAGCGTCAACTTGTCTTGAAACCACACATCAAACTTAACTTTTGAGGTTAAAATTGCAATCGAATATTTACGCGCCAAAATTTAAAGAGCTCCAAGTACAGAAGCGCCCTCTTCAACTCATGTCAATATTACATGCCATTGATACGTAAGTGACGTAGCTCAACAATCTCATCCAAATTCAGTGGATAGGGCGTTTGGTACATTTTGACTTTGATTTCTTTATTTGGACATGAGACAAAAAGAGACAGAAAGGTACCAAACATGTATCCACACAGGTATCCACTACCCAGTCCAATGAACTATAACCAAAAACTGGAATGCGAACACATAAGGACGAACGTGAGGCCTAGTGCGGCTGCTGCGGAGGGGATACCTGTTTTTGTCGCACTCATTATTAGGGACATAAAGCTTCCGTATTTTTTGCTCGGTATCCGTATCGGTATCGTACTGCGCATGTGCAGAAGCGATATACGGAGGCCGAGATACCGTACGTACAACGTAACGTTACGGCCCTCTCGCGGTATCCGTATCGGTAACGTATCTTGACATTCCTGACGCATGTGTCAAATTTTAAATGAATATAACCTCACTTTTCTTCCGGGTTGATTTAATTTGTTTAGTTTATACTTTCTTGAGTTTCTTGTGTGTTTAGTGCTTCTCTATCGCAAAAAAAAATAACAATTTTAAGGTTAGATATGAAAACGCCAGAGTTTTGAGACAAAAATTTCCAGGTTATGAGATGCGTTTACGTTTACCGGAACAGGGAGCGCTTTAACAGCCTTTTCGCTTGTCAACGTATCTAGTTGCGTTACGGATACCGATACCGATACCGGCGAATTATTGCAAGTAGCTTTATGTCCCTATTATGTTAAATGGCGAAAATTGCTTCCAACACGTATTCCAATTGATGAAACCTGTGAAGGAAAATATGACAAAACTTTCGAAAACGTCATATGTCAGCGAGCAACAGAAAAAAACAACATTCCCCCTTGTGGCATCTGTCTTTCATGGCTTCATTTTTTGGGCAGATATGGCAATGTGCGCGCATTCCAGTTTTTGGCTATAGTTCATTGACCCAGTCAAACCGCGGTATAGCATCTGACAGACCAAAGCGCCTACCAAAGTTGCCATGACAGCATCATTCTCCCATCCGAAATTGATTGGTACCTGTTTGACAGGCCAAACTGGGGTACCAAACTGAGGCGAAATCGCCTATAAAAACATGTTGCATTACATTTACCACACGCGGAAGCCGCGTGTGGCTAAATTCAGCTGGTGTAGGCACCGTGGTGGAATGGTAGAAAGAGCAGTGTTGTTAAATTAAACAGGATTTGACAAGCTGTGGTTTGGCATTGGCATTGGTGAATCGCAATCACCGCATCCGTGGCGGTGCAACATTTTGGTGATATTAGCAACACGCGGCTTTTGTTCAGGTTGACGTTGACTAAAGTCTGACTCACACTAGGCAAATTTAAAAAATATATATTGCCTGTACCAGTTTTATGTTTGGCCAAGTGTACGTTAGGTTCTTATCAAAAGACGTCCTGCTGGAACATCCTTTATCTGAAGAAAGTGCTTCAATAATCATAATGAAAATAACCTTAAGTTCACGTCAAACCCGGTAAAAACTCGATTTCTGAATGATCCCAGCGTAATGTTCCGATTGAGCACCTGTTAATTTATGAACGTTTTAGAGTTACTCTAGGGTCAATGTCACACCCAGAGTGCTATTTCTAAACGCAACCCTGCTGATAATGGGGAGCATGCAAAGGACCACGCACGGATCTTATGAGAAAAAATAAATTTCACGATTGTCATGAAATTGAAATATGTTATCCTTCTCGATCTCCTGAACGTAAGTACTCGTAGGCCCGAAAAGATCCTATGAGTAGTTTCGGAGATACAGGGCCGCGTTAACATAAAAATTTTGACCTAAAAATAAACATTCCGAAATATGTTGAGTTTAGGCAATGACATATTCTAGGTTAAAAACGGGTGAAAAAAGTCAAAATAATGTCATCCTAAGCTTTTTAGGTTAAAAGCTTGTCAAAAAATGCCAAAAATATGTCATTTTTGGTTATGAATTAAATTAATGTCCAGGTGAGCAGGAGATTCTGGAGATTTTTCTTATGCTAATTTTTTTTTTATCGGTCCTGTATCTCCGAAACTAATCATAGGATCTTTTTGGGCCTACGAGAACTTACGTTCAGGAGGTCGAAAAGCATAACATATTTCAATTTCATAACAATCGTGAAATTTATTTTTTCTCATAAGATCCGTGCGTGGTCCTTTGATGTTGATGCACCCTGATAAGAAGATAGGCTAGGATACATCTTTTTGCGCTTATTTGCATTAATATTATTGTTATTGGGTCTTCGTTTATATGATTCAAGTTGGTAGCGAAGCATAATATAACTTCGGGTATAAGATGCATCACAAAATTCACATTTATTATTCATGGTTCAAAGATAATAATTTGAAGTAAAGTTGTCTATCTCAAAGCTAACTACACACTTCACAAAACTAAAATCAGAAACTGTTCCTATCAAGAGCTCGGGGTGAAAATGTCCTGTTCACTCTCCTGCTCAACGTTTTCGCAAGGCCAACGAAATTACGTAACCTTCGAGGACTTGTGCAACATCGTTTTCTTTGTTAAATAGAGTACCACTTTAACTCAATTACACCTGCTGTAACACTTTAACTCAATTACACCTGCTGACTCCCAAGGCCAAATGATATCAAAAGAGGCAACCTTGCAACAAAGGGGCACTTGAGTCTGGGAACTTTTTCGATACCGTGGGAAAATCTCTAGATCGACGGCACCTTTGATCAGAAATTTCGGGGGTTTGTAACAAAATCTATACCACCACCTACCTGATTTTGTTGACAAAAGAGGTGGCTTTTGTTTGTTGGAATTTTTTCTATGTTAAATAGAGCTTTGTTGGATTTCCTTGTTGTCATGTATGCGGAACCCATTTTGAAGGTTAGCTAAGCACCTGCTTTGTCTACATAAGAGATGCATTTCTTTGCTAACTTGTGGGACATCTGGGTCCTTTTTCTTTGTTAAATTGTGTGACACCTGGGTCCTTATTCTCGAAACCGGAGAATAGCATTCATGACACCTGGGACCGTATTCTCGTCACAGGGAAACAGCGTTCTCTCAAGAGAACGATTGCTCTGTCTTAGTCACCCATATTGTTATTTCCATGGTACTGACAAAGACAAAGCAATCGTTCTCTTGAGAGAACGCTGTTCCCCGGTTACGAGAATACGGGCTCTGGAGCCATATTCTCAAAACCAAGATGTGTGACACCTGAGTTTCAAGCATCAAATGATGTCAATCTCAAGGTCATCTGTGATGACACGTCACTCTCAAGGTCATGTGTGACATCATTCTTGAGGTCACGTGTGTGTCTACTGCGCATGCGCTTGGAGAACCAGTCAAGGTATACTTAATCTACTTCCATGATGAGCTCTGTCATATTCCTTTTAATTCGCCCATAGAAGACTGGCTCTTCTTTTGCAGAAGATATCTGCTAGCCAGGGTCACTGCCAGTATTTAAGCGATTTAAAATCGGACGTGGTATAATATTCCTTTCCTAATACTTCCATCTGAACTTCTCCAGGTTCATTTTTGGGTTCTCCTTATAGAAGGTGTTAACTGTTCATCCTGTAAAGTTTTTATTTGTTGTGAAATTTTATCATGGCTTCTATGCTCTAATTTCCCGATTCAAAATCAAAATCCTTGATAAATATGATGTCTGTGGAGAATTCCGTTCCTATTTTCGCAATGAATTTCCGAGTATTTGAAAAAAAAAATGTAATTTCTTGCTTTTCTAGACATTATAATGTCCTCGTATAATTTTTCTACATAAATTGCCTTCTGGCATGGTTTTTCTCCTTGCTGTGAATTAGTAGGGCTTTTCCAAAAATAGGCAAATTCTTGACAGAGTTGTTTTGCATTAGAAGTTGTCCGAACTTTAGCATGGTTCGAGTTAAGAAGTTAACTATATCCTCATCTGTCGAGGCAAATACTGCACTCATACGAGTGGCCTGGATCAAGAAATATAGAATATAGTTGCACAATATGGTTTCTCTTCTAGGAATATTTCAATTTACATTAGTAAATACAAAAACTAATTAAATAAATTGGAATAGCCATTTCACAGACTAACAAAATTGACAAAAAAAACATTACCTCAAATATAATCTTCAAATTGCTTTTATAATGACATTTGTATCATTTTTTTCTATCCTGCCCAAATTATGAGATAAATATTTTATAAGCCCTGTGGCCTAAACAATCTTTTTCTAGCCCCAACTTTCACACGATTGAGATAAAATGAATTTTGCCACCATATTATTATTAATAATGCCATTTACAAATTGCAAAATGACATCCTTATTCAATATAAAACCTACACAAATAAATAATTCTTGGTGGAATACACCACAACAAGTACTCATAGCGAATTCCAATGACCCGTTAGTGAGATATTTCACAAATAGCCCTCATATTGCTTCAAATGAGGAAAATTTATTCGAGCAATTGGAAAAACTCAAGTCAATTCGAAAACCTTCCGGCTACACGATATTGCCTGAATCACTAGCCTCACTTGACAGTGTTTTAATGACAGTAGCTGCGTCTGAGGCATTTCAAATTGCTAAATACACTGTTGCGATACCACAAGGAATCAGTGTCCATAGTGTGGCCGAGGTTTTATGGAACTACAGGTAAGCTTTAGTGAAAAAAAAATTGTTCATATTTGGCTGTGAATAAATTATTGTATTGTAAATGAATGGGTAAGTACTGAAAAAGACTATAAACATGAAACATTGTTGAATATTTTAAATAAAGAATTAGACAGGTACTTAGGTACTGTTGTATTATTATCTGCTAGTATTAAATAAAAGTTAATCGATTTATTGAAATATTTAGGAATAAGCTTTAGCTTTTAAGAACTCGGTTAAATGCCCGCGCTAGATCTGTATACTATCTACGACGGTAGTATAATTGGCATGTTATAAACTTATGAAAACATTACATTTTGCTCTATGTAGAATATCCAAATGGAAAAGAAATTACAGGCGCTCGAATGAAAATTACTAGCGAGTAAATACGTTGATTGGTTCATGATTGTGTATTTATCCGGCAGTCGTAGATCGTAGATGGAAGCCCGGGCGATATATATCTTCGACTTTCCTAAAACTATTCAGTTCCTCAGGAATATTTATCCAATATTATTATTTCAGGTTTGCCGATTCCATAATAATCCAAATCGAAACCACCAAAATAGAAATGTACAAAATTGAAATTGTTGAATGCTCAATGGCTAGAGCCAAATTATGCGAAAAAACAAATTGTATTTTCAACTTCAAAACCTCCTTCATCGGCTGCCCATTCAGAATAATCTGGTCTCACCATCCACCATTTGTATACCCACAAAACAACACTAATGGTTGGAAAGGTATTTTCATAGACTTCCTAGAACCTTTGGGCTATTTGAGTCAAAGACCTATAATATTCGCTCCAGACGATGCTGATTATTATTTTGAAATTTCTACGTCGTACTCCTACAACACCGTAGTCGAAGACTTAGTGAATGAGACTTTATTATTTGTTGGCAGTATTGTAATGGAAGTCAATCAAATACTTCATGTATCTTCGATTTTAACTGATGACGATTTACTGGTACTGGCACCAAGATTACTGACAGATTATTGGCAACATTTGGCTTACGCCGTGTCCACGGCACGGATTATTTTCAGTTTGGGTACTATATCTGTTGTAACAACGATACTTTTCTTATTATATAAAAGAGAAGCTTCATTTATAAAATTATTCCTCAATTTGTTTGGCGTTTTGCTGACAGCAAGTGGGTTTGGACGTGTATCAAATTATTGGAATTTAAGAATCTTTATAGGCAAGAACTGAATTTTATTATAAAATAAAGCGTTTCTATCTAGCTCACAAAAAAAACAATCATATTCTGGCTTCTGAATGCTTACATGACTAAAAAGTCGTGCTCTAACTAGGTCATACCTACATAAAGTGAAGCTTCACCCAATATAATATACTTATGTCCAAATAGAAACTATCTGTTATTTTTCTAAGAATTTTGTGGTTGCATGACCAACTCAAAAAAAACTAAAATTGTTGAGTTTCTCTTCGCGTCATCTTGTTTGCGTGTTGTTATTTGGCGCATATTGATACTAGCAAAGAATTTTAGCAAGACATTGATGGTTGACAAAACATGGATTTTAGTTTTGGTGCCGAGTTGTCAAATCACGAGTTGAGAGGGCACACAAAATTGTCTATCAGTGTTAAAATGTCATTCACTTTACAAGAATATGACTGTTTTTCATCGAGCTTAGAACAAAACACAGTAAAAAAAAAAATATATTTCTTCTCGTATGTAAAGACAATGAAGTGGCAATCACAGATATGTTTCCATACCAAAATCTTCTATCTATCTGTGCTCACGTTCATTTAGTTACACCTTAACTTTACTAAACTTGATACGTAATATACTTTCTATTATAGGTTTGCTGCTACTCTCATCAATGGTGATAAATTTTCTTGTGCAAGGAAGTCTCCTGAGTATTTTAACCGGCCCAATGTACGAACCTCCACTGACAAATATAAAACAATTATTAGATTCTAAATGGATTGTTAAATCGCCGAGAGTGATCTTGCCTTATTTAGAATTTATGTCCAAAGGACATCCAGAAATGAAGGAAGTTCTCAAACGAACTATACCGTTTAATGATAACAGCATGAATGTTCTGCTTGATGCAATAGTTAAAGAGGAGAATTTTGCTACTTTTATGACTTCTGGTAAGTTGAGATTAATATCGATAGAGAGTGGCAGCAATAACGGACAAAACGCTCTATCATGTTATTTTTTAGGCCTTCTTCTTACAAGACCGAATATTAAAAATATTTTTGGCTATTTTCCATTTTACCACGCAAATTTGGGTCTGGCTATGAAACAATACGAATATTCTTCGCCTCGCATCTACGACTGGATACTTCGAATGCAGGAAACTGGATTTCTCGAGAAATACAATCGCTTGCATTTGTTTCAGTTAGCCTTAAAGCATAACGTGGAAACTGAAGAAAGAAAGTTCATAATAGGTTGGACGCAATTTTGGCCTGCATTATTGCTTCTGTTTTTTGGAAATGCTATCGCGATTGGAGTTTTCGGTGGAGAAATTGCCTATTCGAAAGTTGCAAATTGGTGTAGGATTTATTCTAAAGGAAAAGAAAGAAACTTTTGATCGTAGTGCATTCTTTTGCATGCATCTGAAACTATTGGAAGACTTTATCGCGAAAATTGACAATTCTGAAAATGTATAAATTTGTCTAAGCTTTTCTTCTAAAAAGTTTTTGTATTAAGCGTTAATCTGAGCACGATGAGTACTATATCATGCACCTCAACACAGTCACTATTTAAGTCAAATTTACTTCCACATAGAACATAGAAAAAGTTTTTACGTCAGAACGATTGGAAGCTTCCAATTTACACGAAATTTGAAATTTGAACTTGGTTACACTATTCGCTTTTCAGTCTCCTTTAACAAAGTAGAATGCAGTTAACCGTGAGTGCATTTGGGCTAAATTCTTGTGCAAACCAAAAGACTGCATCTTTTTCAGCGAAATCATCAGTAATAACAATTCTCTCACATCCCCTCAGCTTTTTGTAGGACCTAGTGAACATGGTTTTATAATACCTATGTCTTTCATTGGCCAGTTCTGTTCCAGGGCACAATCCTAGTGGATTTCCCTGTCATAGGTGGGCAGCTATCGTGAAAGACTGAGATGATTGCTTCGTTGAGTTTCTCCACGACCATCTCTAGGTCTTTAGTAGAATTCTCAATTTATAATTTAAGATCTGCTTCATTTCTCATCGTTATAAGTGGATTGGTATATCACCTAATAGCCGGAGAGCCAGCGCCGAAAAAATTCTCTGAATTTACTAAAGCCAGTTTTTGGTCAGTTGATTACAGTATTTACATACATAAACATACCTCGGTCAGTCAAGCGAAACTTGGGACAAGGACCTAGGGTGTCTGGTTAAAGTTGTCGAGATAGCTATGTAGGTAATGCAACGAATTTACTAAGGCTGAAAATCGCTATACATATTATATATAACACATAAATAACAGTGATGTTTGTCAGTCAGTAGAATAGCGGAACTGGGCCGGTCATTCAGCCCCATTAAGGTCATTCAGACCCAATTTGTGTAAAAAAAATAATAGGTCTATTTTTTTTTTAGAGTGACAGCGTGACAGTGACAATTCAAAATTGTAGGTTGAAGTTTAAATTAATAGGTTTGTTCAGTAATATTAATATTTTTTGCAGATTTTTACATTTATTGGGGCTGACTGACCAACACGGTCCCGCTATTCAATTGACTGACTAACATTACTGTTATTTATATGTTATACAGGGTGTATATTTTAAGTGATACCACCATTGCTATATCCGAAACGGTGAGAGCTGCAAGGTCGGTTAAATGAGAAAAAAGTTGCCCTTTTTGCTGCCCATTCCAAAACTGTTTACAGTGTTGCCAGATTTTTTTTAGTTTATGAAATACAGGGTGATTTCCAAAAAACGAGCGAAATTATTTCATCAATTATTTCGAAAACTATTGATATTCGAGACACAATTCAAATTTGAAAGTTTTATAATTTTTTTCCGTCTACAACATGGCATCTTCAAATTTTGAATTCGACGTTTTGTAATTGAAGTACCATCATCAACTTCATTTTTTTAAATACGGACCTGGATTTTTTATGTCATTTTTAGAAAGTGCCCTTTATTCCCTTTCTAAAAATGACATAAAAAATCCAAGTCCGTTTTTTGAAAAAATAAAGTTGATGATGGTAGCTCGATCACGAAACGTCTGATTCAAAATTTAAAGATGCCATGTTGTAGAACAAAAAAAATTATAAAACTTTTAAATTTAAATTTTGTCTCGAATATCAATAGTTTTCGAAATAATTGATGAAATAGTTTTGGGCATTTTTTAGAAATCACCCTGTATTTCATGAACTAAAAGGAATTGGGCAACACTGTAAACAAGACTTGAATGAGCATCAAAAAAGGCAACTTTTTTCTAATTCAACCGACCTTGTAGCTATTACCGTTTCGGATATAGCAATAGTGGTATCACTTAAAATATACACCCTGTATATAATATGTATAACGATTTTCAGCTTTAGTAAATTCGTTGCATTACCCAAATTATCTCGACACCTTTAACAAGACACCCTGGGTCCTTGTCCCAAGTTTCGCTTGACTGACCGCGGTATGTTTATGTACGTAAATACTGTAATAAATGTATTTTTGTTTAATTTTTTGGTTTTCGAACTCAATTAGAATCGGCGCATCGTCTTTTTACTAACGAGTCAGTTGATAGCCTATTAATGTTTGGATGGATTTGCTGTTTATTATTTCTCCATTCGCACTGCTCAGTCGTTCAGTTTCACCCTTGACCGTGTCTAATCCACATTCCACGGAACTTAAATCGGAGCTATATAGCTTGTAACAATAGACCGCCAAGGCCGTCACACTGAGTATCTTTTTCATTCGTTCCGTGCATAGAGAAAGCGAGGAGCGGTTCTTTCTTCTCTATTTGCGGCTCAGCAGCAGCAGCCTCGATTTTTCATTCCTAGATGAGTTGATGACTTCTTCTGAAATGGCATTTGGTTCAATTATGGATACGGGAATCCTTGGCCTTGCTTGAAAGGCATCAAGCTCGACAGCCTTCAGTTCTGCCTTCTCCGAAAGTTGTCCAAGAGATTTGCTATGCGTCTCCTGAAAAGCCCTGAGCCAATTATAATGTGTGTTGGGTCATCATTTCTGGAGTAAACGCACCTCATCTAGGGTTGTCCGCCTTAGGTCCAAAAACACAGCACTCGTAACTACTTTATCATCAATATTTCCCCTATAATCATCAAGCACGGACTGTAAAGCTATTTCATACCTATACGACAGTAATTCCCCTAAATCTGTATACACGACCTTCTCCAAAACATTCAGACCGACAATGCTCAACATATTATTATGTCCGAGCCCCGGGGCAACTATACTAAGATACCTTTAGGTCCTTTGGCAGCTCGCCGATTTCGACTGAGTAGTTTATAAGATTTAGAAGAGAGGACTGGGAATATGATGATTGATGAAATCAATTTTTCACATACACACAACACAGTCCATCTGGATTCTGGACCACCCCTAATTCTCTAGAGAAAATATAATGTGATGTAGACAAAATTTTCATTAATTTCAATGTATAGCATTGACTCACTTTCCTCGCTATTTGGCTTGACCTCCTCCAACACTTGCCACAGCCTTACAGAGATGCCTCTATGTTCAATAATTTTTGTCTCGAAATATTTTCTCTTTTCTTTCTTCGTTGTCTTGGTATCATTTAGTTTTCTCTTGTATTCCTTTCTATTTTGGTCATTTCTTTCTCTGTCCATTATATCTATTCTTCATCCCTTAGTTTTCTAGCATACCTACTCACATTTTGATAGTAGGTACCAATCTTTATATCTAGGGCGTATTATCATACAGCTCTCAAGAGCAGCATCATTATACATATAACTTGAACATGTTTTGCTACACAATGTATGCTTGGTATCTATTCTATATCCATTATTCTATATTCCCAGATTATTCTTCTCAAATTTTCATTAAATTCTCCATAGTTGTTATATCTGCTTTAAATCATCAGAAAATAAGTCTTTTTTCTATTAAGATATTACATGTCTAGGAAGAAGTTTCTAACACCTTAATTTCCAATAAATCCCTACCTATTATCAAATCAATAATGCTTCCACTCGTGTTAGTAGGATGTGTTATCTTCTCCCTGACAACTGACAATATTCAGGCAAACAATATCAACAAAAACACTCTCCAACCCTTTATTTTGGGACTTTCAATCAATATTGAAATTACCCGTTACCTATAGACACACTTCGGTCACATATATTTTCATCCAGTCACGGAAAAAATTAAAAATTGATGTGCACTCCCACTTGGTAATCTGCCTATGAGTATAAGCACGCGATCAGGTAATTCTTATTTTAGTATATGAAGACGTACGTACGTAGGTATAAGAGCGCACCGCCCAGTATGCCTACTATTAAGTATTAACCCTAACAATATTTTTTTTGTTAGAAAGTTTTTTGCAGGTAATGACCAACGTGAATTCCGGGACACAACGGTCCCTGTTTGGGAATCGACCCACTGAGCAGTGGACTCAGGCTTCCCGTGCCAATCCTTGACGCGTTTCGTCCTTGTTAGGACTCATCAGAAGGATATAGGCTGAAGCTTCCTGTCCGAGCAAAATTGAACTTCGTTGACCAGTCAGAAACAACTACTCCGAGATACACTGATTGATCTGAGCTTTCATTGGCAATGAAAATTGTTAGAAAGTTTTTTCCAGGTAATGACCAACGTGAATTCAGGGACACAACGGTCCCTGTTTGGGACAGGGAGCTTCAGCCTATGTCCTTCTGATGCGTCCTAACAAGGACGAAAAGCGTCAAAAATTGGCACGGGATGCCTGAGTCCACTGCTCAGTGGGTCGATTCCCAAACAGGGACCGTTGTGTCCCTGAATTCACGTTGGTCATTACATGAAAAAAACTTTCTAACAATTTTCATTGCCAACGAAAGCTCAGATCAATCAGTGTAGTTCAATGCCGGTAGGGGTATTTGCCGTCGGAGTAGTTGTTTCTGACTGGTCAACGAAGTTCAATTTTGCTTGGACAGGGAGCTTCAGCCTATGTCCTTCAGATGAGTCCTAACAAGGACGAACCGCGTCAAGGATTGGCACGGGAACCCTGAGTCCACTGCTCAGTGGGTGGATTCCCAAACAGGGACCCTTGTCTCCCTGAATTCACGTTGGTCATTACCTGAAAAAAACTTTCTAACAATTTTCATTGCCAACGGAAGCTCAGACCAATCAGTGTAGTTCAATGCCGGTAGGGGTATTTGCCGTCGGAGTAGTTGTTTCTGACTGGTCAACGAAGTTCAATTTTGCTTAGACAGGGAGCTTCAGCCTATGTCCTTCTGATGAGTCCTAACAAGGACGAAACGCGTCAAGGATTGGCACGGGAAGCCTGAGTCCACTGCTCAGTGGATCGATTCCCAAACAGGGACCGTTGTGTCCCTGAATTCAAGTTGGTCATTACCTGAAAAAAACTTTCTAACAATTTTCATTGCCAACGAAAGCTCAGACCAATCAGTGTAGTTCAATGCCGGTA